GTCGGGGCTTTATGGCAGAGTGGCCCGACGGAAGCCTCTCCTCAGTGCAAGACACATGAAAGCCCGCATGGAGTTTGCTAAAAAACACCTGAAGGACTCCAAGATGGTGATAAATAAGATCCTCTGGTCTGATGAGACCATGATAGAACTTTTTGGCCTTAATTCTAAGCGGTATGTGTGGAGAACACCAGGCACTGCTCATCACCTGTCCAATACAGTCTCAACAGTGAAGCACGGTGGTGGCAGCATCATGCTGTGGGGGTGTTTTTCAGCTGCAGGGACAGGACGACTGGTTGCAATCGAGGGAAAGATGAATGCGGCCGAGTACAGGGATATCCTGGACGAAAACCTTTTCCAGAGTGCTCTGGACCTCAGACTGGGCCGAAGGTTTACCTTCCAACAAGACAATGACCCTAAGCACACCGCTAAAATAACGAAGGAGTGGCTTCAAAACAACTCCATGGCTGTTCTTGAATGGCCCAGCCAGAGCCCTGACTTAAACCCAATTGAGCATCTCTGGAGAGACCTGAAAATGGCTGTCCACCAACGTTTACCATCCAACCTGACAGAACTGGAGAGGATCTGCAAGGAGGAATGGCAGAGGATACCCAAATCCAGATGTGAAAAACGTGTTGCATCTTTCCCAAAACGACTCATGGCTGTATTAGATCAAAAGGGTGCTTCTACTAAATACTGAGCAAAGGGTCTGAATACTTATGACCATGTGATATTTCAGTTTTTCTTTTTTAATAAATTTGCAAAAATTTCTACATTTCTGTTTTTCTTCTGTCAAGATGGGGTGCTGAGTGTACATTACTGAGAAATAAAATGAACTTTTTTGATTTTTGGAAAATGGCTGCAATGAAACAAAGAGTGAAAAATTTAAAGGGGTCTGAATACTTTCCGTACCCACTGTACATACCGTAAAATACACAATACCATGTAAGCCCAGATGTCTACTGGATGTGGATCTTGCGCCATTAGTTACATCCGTATGGGATCAAATGTCTACTGGAAGCCTTTCATAAGTTGAGTGTCTTCAAACAGGCAGCTCTATAGCAGACACAAAGTCATAGCAGTCATAGAAATCAATAATCAATCAATGGAATAATAATTTTAATATGGGGATAAATCTGCATAATTTCAACCAATCTCCTCTTCTAGAAGCATATATAGTGTTGCACACAGTTGTTCACATGGAAAGACCTGTTAGTGGTCAGTAATTTTAGTGCATCACATGTTTTGTTTTCGCATTCACTAAATTGACTAATTACACAAAAATAATAATCTAAACAGGGGACAATGTCTAGAGCTTCCAGTAAAGGTAATTCTATTCAAGGTGACAGAAGCGTGAATGCTTATAATAGTGGTGTCCTTGGCAGTCAGGGGCTCTGACAAAAGAGCAGCCTTGTAAATATGGATGTTTCTTCTGTTCACAGGTGTGGTGTATAAAAATTCCTCATGGGAGACCAATCTGTGTTGACATTTGCATGGGTGGAACTAGAGCGAGCGAAAGCCAAACTCATGAATAGAAATAAGTGTTTGTATTGATTATTGTGTTGGATGTGGATGGCCTTTAATGAGAGAGAAACACAGAAAGAAAGAGAGTGAGGGCGAATGACGGACAGAAATTGAGACAAACAATGAACGGGAAGTAAAGAAAGAGAAAGTCCTAGGAGGTTGTAACCCACTTCAATCTACCCTTTGAAACCAATACAACATATGTAGATATCAATACAAGCAAGCTTATAAATATGCACCACACAGAGCAGCACAGTGACAACCTGATCTCAGGTGGCACATCCTCAAAATTGTTGTTTTCTGCCATTCAACTCACCATTTGTGGTTTGTTGTGGCTTCTTATATGTCATACTTGTGGAATACATTGAATTGTATCAGATAATATGGAAAAAGGAGAACACTTTCAGTGTAGCAGTGATATAGAAAGGTAGTGTAACATAAAGATAAACAACCTGATTGAGTGCAAAAGACAAGGTAGAAGACACCCCCCCCCCCCCCCCCGAATAGGTTCATACGTTATCCGTACAACACAGTACTTATAATAATGAGAGCTTTATACATAAATTGTTAAAGCCTTCCTTATGGAATGGCTAATGAATGACTAAAGTATCGAATGAATCGACTACACTTGCATCTTTCTCACACTGATCAAAGAAATACGTTGATTTAAGAGTTATGTCTGTAAGTTGACTAACAGAATATTACACAGATCATGTTTCAGTGTAGCTAATCAGCTAGCTAGCTATGTAGGAAGATGTCACCTCCACTTTTAATGAATAAATCTGATTCAGAAGTCTAGAATTGGACTGTGTTAGCACTGTTATTAAGAAATTCATGATAAATGAATTGCCTAATTTTATTTCTGTCAGTAATATTCCTTACTTTGCTATAGCTAGAGAGCAGCAGTAGAGGCAATAGCATTGCAAGTGTGGCTTAAGTCATTGCAGTCCACTTCTTCTTGTGTGCGTGCCGACATTTTGATTCAAAGAGTAATCCTTCTTACATCTGCCATCACAAGGATAGAATCTGCATCAAGTTTATTTTCAAGTTCAGTTGCTCCTGAAACATATGTGTCCTGCAAAAAAATTGTGTTATATTTATCATTAATGTAAAGTATTGCTCGTTTTCTGTGTATGTGTGAGAGATTCAGAGAGAAAAAGCAATTGTCTGTGTTTGTGAGCGTATGTATGAAAACTTGTGGTTAGAGCGCATTTATGTCATGGTATTTCTCTCTGGGCATTTGAGCGTTTGATATGCAGAGTATAGAGCGGTGACCTGTGATAAAACGGCAGACTGCAGAGTGTCATGGGAATTACTGCAGTGTAACATGGTCGATTGCACCTGTTACCTAAGTAAAGTACTAACTGATTCCATAGGGCACTTTTCTCCGGAGGCAGTGACATAGGATAAGTTGTATATATGTATGTGTGATCTAGATAAATGCACTCAAAGAGCCCCATGCTTATTCACTGACCTGTAAACCCACGGGTAATTTCCTGTTTCTGTCACCGGGGCCAGAGACAATTTTCCATGTTAAGACACAATTTGCCAACTCAGCACCTGGTAAGAGTTTGGTCAAACCTTTGTGCCAAGCATGAACAAATATATCAACATTTCTGAATACAGTGAATGTATGATAAGAGTTTATGGTGTTCATTGCCAGTAAGTGTTATTTCTAGACCAAGGTTGGAGATTATAAAGTAAAAAGTAGTTGCCGAATATAAATATCTCTCCACTGAATATTCTGTATTTCTGAGATGCTTAACATGTTGGACTCAACCCAGCAACCCAGACAGAGGGTATAACAAACATTTAATGTGAGAATTCCTAAGTATACTTGACTCACAGTTTGGCATATAAGGCTGTCAAAGCCTTCATGACACGGACATTGAGGTGCATTAGTTGAAATCAGATTTGAAGCTGTGAGTTTTAAATTGGTTTAAAATAAAAAAATTTGTGTAAGAGGGGTGTTAAAATCACTTCTTAAAGGCCATGTTATGGTTTGTTTATATCTTGTATCTTTATACATTTTATTATAGTTGTATAGTAGTATAGTTAGTTATAACTATAGTTATCTATATTATTCCTAAAATATATGTACTGCCCTTAACATGTTGACTTTTCTAAATTAACAGTAGTGCATTGTTATTTTGCTCTGTAAAGTACTTATTTACAGATAAAACTTAAAATGATACCTTTTGCAAAGAAGTTTTTGCTGATTTGAATTGTGTATTGTTGGTGTTATATTAATGTTATATGAATTGCTTGCGGGTAAATGTATGTGGGAATGGCAAAAGGGAATGTAAACATGACTTGCATTGCCCTGTTTATGCTGCGTTACACATGAAAAATGTAATATATTTAAAACAAAATAATATATATATATAATATAAATACATGTTCTGCAAAGGTATATGTATATGAGTATGGTAAATAAATTGTATAAAAAACACACATTAAGGTAGAGACCCAGCTTTTCTCCATCCTCAAACTACATACAGTATACACTCAATAATCAAAGGATTATTAGGAACACCTGTTCAATTTCTCATTAATGCAATTATCTAATCAACCAATCACATGGCAGTTGCTTCAATGCATTTAGGGGTGTGGTCCTGGTCAACACAATCTCCTGAACTCCAAACTGAATGTCAGAATGGGAAAGAAAGGTGATTTAAGCAATTCTGAGCGTGGCATGGTTGTTGGTGCCAGACGGGCCGGTCTGAGTATTTCACAGTCTGCTCAGTTACTGGGATTTTCACGCACAACCATTTCTAGGATTTACAAAGAATGGTGTGAATAGGAAAAAGAGGCTACAATTTGCAAGAGCTCACCAAAATTGGACAGTTGAAGACTGGAAAAATGTTGCCTGGTCTGATGAGTCTCGATTTCTGTTGAGACATTCAGATGGTAGAGTCTGAATTTGGCGTAAACAGAATGAGAACATGGATCCATCATGCCTTGTTACCACTGTGCAGGCTGGTGGTGGTGGTGTAATGGTGTGGGGATGTTTTCTTGGCACACTTTAGGCCCCTTAGTGCCAATTGGGCATCGTTTAAATGCCACGGCCTACCTGAGCATTGTTTCTGACCATGTCCATCCCTTTATGGCCACCATGTACCCATCCTCTGATGGCTACTTCCAGCAGGATAATGCACCATGTCACAAAGCTCGAATCATTTCAAATTGGTTTCTTGAACATGACAATGAGTTCACTGTACTAAAATGGCCCCCACAGTCACCAGATCTCAACCCAATAGAGCATCTTTGGGATGTGGTGGAACGGGAGCTTCGTGCCCTGGATGTGCATCCCACAAATCTCCATCAACTGCAAGATGCTATCCTATCAGATATATCCTAGAATGCTTTCAGCACCTTGTTGAATCAATGCCACGTAGAATTAAGGCAGTTCTGAAGGCAAAAGGGGGTCAAACACAGTATTAGTATGGTGTTCCTAATAATCCTGTAGGTGAGTGTACATTAACAGTGTTACTGAGCAGAGGGGACTCACATTGAGCCAGTATCGCGGCCATTGCGGTCTTGAACTTGTCTCTGGCCTCTTCCATCTCCTTCTCATGCTGACTCTTCTCGCTAATCAGCCGGCGGACATGGCTGTTGGAGGACTGGATCATGGAGTAGAAGTTGTTGGCATTCCGGCGGTTGACTTCACCTCGTTCCAGCCAGGTCAAGAGCACACGCACTGATTCAGGAAACACATTGTCATCTAGAAAAGACGGGAGGAGAGAGGGTGGAGAGAGAGAGTCTGGATCAATTTTAGTATGGTGGGATGAAAAGAAAAGTACATTTCTTGTCATTCAGGTAGAAGTAGTGTGAAGGAGAGAATGAGTCTATACAAGAAAGGTTACAAAAGTGCCGCCTTTACAAAATCTGAGTCATTTGACCAAGATAGAAGTAAAGCAGAAAAAAAAGGCAGGAAAGGAGAGAAAGGAATGTGGCCAAAATCAATAACACAAAAGTACAATAACAGAAGCCTCTGCCAACTAAAGTTTTATCTAGCCAAAAGAGGACAAAAGGAAAGAGTTACGATCACCAGGAGCAAGGAAAAAGCTGCCTCTGCAAATTTACTCTTAAACCATGATGATCAGGGACATGCAGGAGTCAAGAAGTTCAATTTCAACATCAACACTTTTACTGTGTATACATTTAACACTCACAGTACACTGTATAAAAGTGTGTCACAAAAGAAAGCAAGTAGCAAAACTCTCCTCAACTCTACGGTGGCCCAGAGGTGTCAGGCCAAATACAAAAGCCACAACACAAATACAAAAGCCACAACACAAATACAAAAGTCACAACACAAATACAAAAATATAGATATTTATGTCAATTAAACAGCTGTCTGTACAGATTAGCTTCAGAAATAGACTCAAAATGTGCAAAAGAAAACGCAAGGAGTCTCTGGTAACCTCGGAGACGACTAAACATTTCATTAATTTCATATTTTAATGCCATCTCCTTAATACAGTTGTACTGGTGTATACACAGACCCATACAGTATTTTTGCAACATAGGTCTCATTATGGAATGCACACAGGATTTGAATGGGCTTCGTGGGGGTCTCTAACTAACGGTAGCAGTGGAGATAACTAAACAAATAAATAAATAACGGGTGGGAGAGAGAGAGAGAGAGAGAGAGAGAGACATCATTGCTTATTACGTTGTCCCATATTTCCATCTCTCACACACATGCAAACGTACAAACACACACACACACACACCAGTCCACTACTTGCCCCAGATGTCTGCGATACTGCAACAAAGTTTATAGCCTGGAAAATGCCATCAAAGACTACTGCTCAAGGAGATACCGCAATTCTGCCATTTATGGCATCATATGAAGGTGTTATTATTTTACACACTGCTTGCCACTGGCACACAGTTAAGCATATTATCATATGTAGCGCTGTACTAATTTGAGGATACATTATAAAGCCATTGACACTAAACAAACAAGCAGCAGTCAATACACAGTCTAATACAATGCAATACAACTGAGTACATGTTTGCAGGTCGCTCAACCTGTTCGCTCAAAATGTATACCATAGTGGCTAATAGTGGAGAAGTACAGCCATTATGTCAGTCATGCGGTGCGCAGGTGTACTTTAACTCTGTTTATCTTTCTAATAGTACTAATTACAATGAAAATTAAAGCTGCAAGCAGCGTTTGGTGGGCCCTCGCACTTGTAGCACGTCCAGGTGTGATCCGGCCGCGTTGCATATTCTGGAGCTCTGCCGGTGCGGCTGTGAATTTGCTACGCGCTTCAGACGCTGCATGCATATGTCACTTCCTGTGTCCCCTTTGTGGAGCTACATAGCACTTGTCACTATGACTAGAAATGAATATTGGCGTGTAGATGTGTTTGGGGCCGGACAGTTATCAAGCACATAAAGTTTTGTTCAGATGTGAGCATGTACACTGAAGTTACAACAACTTCCTGTGTCATGGCAAAGAGTTGATCTTTGACGCCACACCACGGACATGCCCATTGATGAAAACTCACAGATAGCACAACTTTTCATCTTCAATGCCTTTAGAAGGCACAGCAGAAATTTGAAGTCGGTCGGACTAAATCCCTAGGAAGAGTTCGTTAAAGTATGGAGTGTGTAAATCATCCAAAATTTGACGTAAAATTCTAAATGGCCGACTTCCTGTTGGTTTTAGGGCATCGCTCCAAGACGGTTTTTTGGTACGTCTGGACAAGATACACGTACCACAGAAAATTCGTACACGCAGGTGAAGCGTGCGGCGGGGGCTGCTTCATTAAAGGGTATGGGTTCTTGAGGCTTTTTTGTGCGTCTTGATATGATACATGTCCCCTGAACATTTCGTGCATGTAGGTTGAACGTGAACGAGGGGCTAATTTTTTCCAATTTTCTAGGTGGCGCTAGCTAGCCATTTTGCCACGCCCATGCACGAAACCCATAAAATACGAAAATTTTCACTACTTCTGACATGTGCAAAGTTTGGTAAGTTTTCGAGTATGTTTAGGCCCCCAAAATTGAGCTTACTTTGCAGAAAAAAAATAAAAAAAATAAAAAAAATAATAATAATCTACAGTTTCAATAGGGACATTGCACGGTTCGTACTCGGGCCCTAAAAAGAAAAAAGAAAAAAAGAATCTTTACAGTTTCAATAGGGACCTCGCACGGTTTGTGCTCGGGCCCTAAATACATCATTTGTGATTCAAAATAATGGTTGTTGATAAATTAATTAGTGACCTCCACAGATGAATCATTTTACTGCTTCCATAGGAGATCCCACTGGCTCCCACGTAACTCAAACCCTGAAAGCACACCATTATTATAGGCTACTACTAGCTTGGACAGTCAAGGATATTAGGCTTCTTTTATTTCATTGAGGTGCAGTGGTTAGCACTGTCGCCCACTCTCTTCCCAGCAAGAAGGTCAAACCCCGGCCCCGGCCTTTCTGTGTGGAGTTCACATGTTCTCCCTGTGTCCGGGTGCTCCGGGTTCCTCCTGCCATCCAAAGACCAAGCAGGCTAGGTTAATTGGTGTCTTTAAAATAGGTTAGGTGTGAATGTGAGTGTGACTGGTTGCCCTGCGATGGACTGGAAACCTGTCCAGGGTGTACCCCGCCTTTCGCCCGATGTAAACTGGGATTGGCTCCAGCCCCCCGCGACCCTGTACGCAGGATAAGTGGTTGACGATCGATGGATTATTTTATTTAAAAACTAGTGTTCCACACATGGCAGAGTTAAGCCTGATTTATTGGGCTTACACTGTACGATTTCAGCCCGTGTCTGACCCGATTCTAGAGCCACACGACTCATTTAGAGACGGGCCGAACAATCGCTTCGTCGGGTGCGTTTGCCATGCAGTGTACAAAGGGGAGCGAAGAGCGATTAGCAGCTCCCGAATGGCCATCGGGCACAATTTCTGACATGTCACAAATTTCGTTAGGCTGTTGTCAGACTGTCGCACAGTTGAAGCAGAACCACAAGTGGCTTCCCCACAATCAGTGCCTTTTTTCTCACAGCACCTGTGTAAAGTGTTGAACGGCGTCTGAAAGTGCCATGGCAACACAACGCTCGCTATCAAGTCAAAATCTGTACAGTAAAATATTCGGGAACCAAGACCACGCCTTGAACTCACCCAATTTCCACACACCAAGTATTTAAGCACACCTTTTCTGTTCACCTCCCCTTGACTCAGCTTTCTCATCCCTCCCACCCAAACCCCTTTCTTTTCCTTTCTCTCTCCCTTGCTCCCTTCTCTCCCCTTGTCTGCTTACAGACTCGTTTTCACTCGTCCGCTGACGAAGAGACGGCTCCCCCACCTAGAGTCTCGACTCCGCCGGTTCCAGCACATCCTCACACTGCAGACACCGGTCTGCTCTTCATCCCCCCATCCATCCGCACAGATCCGACTCCTCTCCCTCTTCCCTCACCCGTCTTCCCCTCAACCTTTCATCCATTCACACCTCGACCCCTACCCCTCATCCCTCAACCCTCTCCCCCATCCCTCAGCTCACCATCCGGGCACTCGATCCGCTCTCTCCATACGATCCCATCTCAAGCTCTATCATCATATATCTTCGCAGGCGTGGTCTTTGTTAGTGAAAGCTTGTTTTCCTCCAATTCTCTCTGCAAAATTAAAATGCTATGCTGCCCACATATACTATTGTCAAGAGTCAGAACAGTCAGCAGGGGCCGACAGGCTGTAAGGCTACAGTGTGAGCGCTCAGGTCGGAGCTGACCATCGGACCGTACAATGTGGTCACCTACATCGTGAGCTTTGGCTTTACGTCGCAGACAATTTACTACAGTGTGATTTGGAATAAAACAAAAAGATTTCTAAGGAAGTAAGTCGTGCAGTGTATGCCCAGGGTGCTCAACTCTTCTGATGAGTGTTTTCAATTTATGCTTCAGCAAAATGTTTTCAGTTGTCTCCATGGTCACCTCCTTGAGTCTATTTTTGTGGCTTTAAGTGAAGCTAATCTGCAGTCATGCATTAAAGAAAGTAATCCGCTATTACTAAACTTCTTTTTTGTTGTCAACTCACTTCCGTTGTGGCTTTTGTATTTGTGTTGTGACTTTTGTATTTGTGTTGTGACTTTTGTATTTGTGTTGCGGCTTTTGTATTTGGCCTGACACCTCTGGGCCACTGTACAACTCTCAGCTCAAATCCAAGCTCTGTATTTGTATGAAGCTGAAGTTCAATTCAATTTGTGTTTGTGCATTATTTTAATGCTTGTACAAGCGGTTTTAGCAACATCTATTCCAGTTGTGTGCTGGGTTGTCTCCAGGTGGCACACAGGAGTGTCTGGGAGGAAAGAATGAGGACATGAAGATGGTGCGACGAAAATAACTTCAAGAATTTACTGTCATCTTGGTAAGAAAAGAACAGAACGGATTAAATAGATGATTGTGAAGAAAAATGATCATATCCATATGCTGAACATAAAAGAGCAGGAGGTTCAATAAGAAGAATAGCTTCGGTTGAAATCAATCAGCTTGTGTCTTTCCTATAAATATCTTTGGTAAACAACCCTTGCCAAATGTCTACATAAAAGGTGAGCACCGTGTCATAAGGCTGCTGTTTACAAAGTGCAGTTTGTTTGGCAGTACTCCTGCTTTGTCTGGTGAATAATCAGATGATGTCAAGAGACTTTATTGATTTCTATTGTTGTTATTCCGCTGTGGCTGTCCTGTCCTCTGCTGCCTCGCTGCTTACAAGTCAGATGAGCATAGGAGAGAAAACTCTCCCACACACAGACGTCAGCATACAACACACTGCCTCAGACCTCCATAACACACACACACACACAAAGAGTGGTGCACATGCATCATGTGCACACACGTAAACAATACTTAGTGCCTTTACAGATTGAGCAGCTGGAGAGGTTTATATTCATTTAAGCAGGGTTCTGCAGATGCTCTTAGTTTCTCTCTGTCACTCGCAACCACACACACTCATACATTCACACACACACACACAGTGGTCTATTAGACGGCATGCATGAATGATGAGCTATCACAGCTACAGATATTGAATCAAGGTGTTATCGCATGAATCCCCGAGGTGTTTCTGTTCTGTTTATAGGCAGACTCGGGTCTCATAATACATGCCCCCTGCAGCGGTATTATTAATAGACAATCTGGAGGAATATTAGTGGTATTCGATCAGTGACAGGGCGAGTGCCTTTCTAGCTTTAATGTTACAGTAAAGAGGCTAGTGTAAGGGCAGGAATGTCACTGGGGATCAACAAAGAATCTCATGTTACAGATGTGTGCTTGCATTAAGAATCCACCAGGCTCAACAAGAGCCCATATCCCAGCGGTCCCTTCAGCCCAGCCTCCTTAAATGTGCTCTGAACACTGATTGGAACTACACTTAACCATATACAGCATTTAAATATTTTAAATTATAGCACAACGCATTGCAGTCAAGAGGAATGATTCATCTCAAGTCACTTTGAATTCTCAGTAAGAAGCTGACGTATAAGACACTCAAATGAGAAAAAGTCATGCAGACACAAAGGAACACTTGATGAAATGTCAAGGGTGTTTAAATACTGAAACACTGTGTAGATGCTGGCTTCAGTCAAGCTAGTGGTTTTGTTATGCTGTACTTAGGCGCAGCATTGCTTTGAGCTAAATGCTAATGTCTGGATGCTAACTTTTACATTTATTTATTTAGCTGACGCTTTTATCCAAAGCGACTTACAATTGCTATATATGTCAGAGGTTGCATACCTCTGGAGCAACCAGGTCTCTCACACCAAAGGTTTGTGTCTTATTCACTGCCCCATCACCACCCCTAACATGCTCACAATGACAATGCTAACCTGCTAGGAGATATGTTTAACTCGTTCACTATATTAATGTAGCATGTAGCATTTGCCAATTGGCACAAAACATTTCCATTTACTCCTTTAGCTGATGTGTTTATCCAAAGCAACTTACAAATGCTATATATCCTCTGGAGCAACTTGTGGTTAAGTGTCTTGCTCAGGGACAATTTTGGTGGATGTGTCGCAGGAATTGAACCTGGATCACCCACACCAAAGGTCTTATGTCTTATCCACTGTTCCATCAACAAAATTTACAGCTGAGGCTGATGGGAATGTTCGTTAGCTTTGCCAGAATCCGGTCATGAAGAAAAGGGTTGGACAAATTAAAATTTTGACTTGATGGTGGAACTAAATGAAAAGTCAGTGGCTCACCAAAGGTATTACAATTCATCCTGAGGGAGACTTAAGTGTCTGAACCAAATCACAAGGCAATCCCTCCAATAGTTGTGGAGATATTTCAGTCTGGACTAAACTGGTGGACTGACCAACTGACATTGCCATCCCTAAAGCCACACTGCTAGCATGACTAATGACAGCATGAATACTGACAGTGGCAAATTGTTACTGGTTCCAGCTTCTTAAATGTGAGGATTTGCTCTTCTATATGTTGTGTATGGGTGTAAAAAATTAAAACAATTGTTAGTCATAGTCCTAATTTGCAATGGCCCCATGATCATACACTTTAAGTACACTCAGAGTGTATGCATGTTTGTCTACCAACCTTTGATCTTGTCTCCAAGCGCACTACATTCGTGCTCAGAGTAGTGGACGATGGGAGGAGGGGAGGGCGGCCGGAGGCGATCCTCCTCCATCTTGCGCCGGTGCCTCTCCTCTCTGGCCAGCATGCGCTGCCGACACTCCCACTCATAGAGGTCGTCTCTTGCCTGGGCAAAATCCACGTGGAGACGTCCGGAGTCTTTTTTGTCTGTGCTGGAGCCCAAACGAATACGGTAACCTGGGGAGAGGAAGGTGAGGTTTGAGAGGAGATGAAACAAATTAAGAAAAAGTCGAGGTCTAGGGGAAGATAGGGTGAAAACAGAGCACATAGAAGATAGCTGAGACATTTCATTGATTGGATGAGAGAGGCAACAGGGTAAAATATCACTATCTATCAAAACTTACTCTGATTCAGACATAGACAGATAGACAAAAGATCAGTTGAGATAAGAATGACAAGCACAAATTGGCAGATGTACACAGATAGGAAGACAAAATGGTACATTCACATACACACAGGTCTATGACAAGGTCACTCTTTGTTCTCTTTATGTGTCCTGTTATTGCAGCTACACTTCAGGTGTATAGGCCAGTACTTAAGTCACTTGAGTTTTTTCACTTTATATGTACATGAGTGTGGCACACTAATTACAGTGACACCCCTGGATCACCCCACGCCTCCTACCTGACACTTAGCACTGCCTGTGTGTGGGTGTGTTGTTGTTGTTAACTGATTGGTCTGAATGATCTGTGACAGGCTGTGGTGTTTACAGTACAGTGGGCAGTGAAAAACCAGGAAACAAGCTCAGAAAGCCCTGGGCCAGCATTCCCTCTAAATACATATGAATGCAAGCTCTCATTGGAAAAAAAAGGAAATAAAGTTGGATGTCGGTGCCAGTCGAAAAAAGAAACGAGTGTAAGTTTTGGGTTGTTTCTCGAGTCTGCTCTCCCTGCTTTAGGCTCTCGTTTTGCTTCAATATTTCATAAAGGTAGACCTCAGTGTGCCGAGGCTCCTGTAATGTGTATATGTGTGTGTGAATGTTTGTGTACACGTGTTTGTGGGAGAAGAGGCCATGGTGTACGAAAAGTAGTATTTATGAGAATGCAACACAGGTCTGTCATCTGGCTAATATATGGACTTATAGCTCCTGTCTTACTGTAGCGAGGAGGTAGATGAAATCACACACACCCAAGCACCCATATACACACACATTAAATAATGCAGAAGGTATTATTGCAGGGGCTGGTGTTTTAAATGAGCTTTGTGAAGAGGGAATATATAGCCAGCAATTCACATGGAGAGATTTAAGGCATCTGTGCAGGAAAAGCTGCGGGATAGAGATAAAATAAAAAAAAATCATAAGCTGGCGTCACATGATGAAAAGAGAGACCTATTCTTCTCTAGGAGCAGTTAAAATAGCATCCCATTGAATGGTTGATTTTAAATGTGAGCGCATTCATTTGTCAGGTGGAATGACCTTGTAAGAGTGATTATTATCAAAGTCCTTATAGGCAAGTCCTGCCACTCGGGAGACAGCTTGGTAACGCCTCCGGGCAGTTATTTCAGACTAACAAGACCAGGCCCCTATGTAAATGAATGGGGAAAGAGCCAAAACTACACTTTCACTGGTCACCAGGACAGTCAGCACAATCAGCGGTGAAATTAAAAAAAAAACGCTAAAACAGTTTGCAAGACGTTGGCATAGATTTCGTGAAATAAAATGCTGCAAGATAGACACTGAGTTGGCATTCTTTCTGTTGGACTATTAAATATTAATGCTCTCTTGTATTGTCTTGCTTGATGTTTGGCTCTGTTACCAATGTTGGTGACTTGATCGTAATGCATTCATAACATATTAACTTGTACAGCTGTCCTTATTTAAGACAGCAGTGAATTAATGTTCTGTAATGTAATGTTCTGTAATGAGACAAGGTGAATTAGAAGTTACCTGGATGTAAACCCAAGTGTATTTTTAGTGCTCTGTTGCTCTATATCACAAAGCAAGTGGAAGAAAAGCATTTATTGTGGGGAATATAATTAAAACATATTTTTTGTGTTGAGTGGTAACATCTATAAATCAAAACCTACACTGTACGTATCTACAGCGGTTCAGCCATTAACACTTTCTGTCATAAATCCAGCTTCATGCAGTTAAACACATTCACATCTCACTGGTGGTAATGAGGGAGAGGCAAGCACTTCTTTTCAATTTTAGCTAACCAGATGTATCTGATGAATGTCAGTGGGATCTGCAAACCGGCAATGATTTAAATTGGATAAATCTGACTGGGGATTGAAGCAGTGACTTTCCAGTTACACACATGCATCTCTAACCTCTACACCACCACTGTCCAACTTCAACTGTACATCTGTTCACAAATCTTCATTAATCCATCCATCCATCGTCAACCGCTTATCCTGTGTACAGGGTCGTGGGGGGCTGGAGCCAATCCCAGCTGACATCGGGCGAAAGGCGGGGTACACCCTGGACAGGTCGCCAGTCCATCGCAGGGCCTCTTCATTAATCACTTATGAATATTTTACATTTGCGATAAAGTGTGCACACAGCCCTTGACCTATTAAATTGCAGCAAATTTTCCACATTTACATAACAGAGGAGTGAAGAACAAAACGTATTAGGACCATAAAATATGAGGTAACACTCACAAAACTGCAGCTGTATATATTCAAAATTATGTAATTGTACCAGTTGGCATGTTCAGTAATTATTACATAGTCACAGGTGCAGAAAATAACTAAATTTGTACACAGTATAGATGTACAAATGATAAAGGTGCATATTTTCAGAAAAAGGATCATGACTGATATAATAGCAGGGCTCTATTAATTTCATCTTATTCTGGCTTCCGGAGCTGTATGACTCTCTTGTTCTCTAAAGTAAAAAAACGTCCAGTGTTGTTCACTTCCAAATAATCTGTATGGGGTGCAGCAAACTTTCCATCAACCTGTCCATCGATGCCCATATATATTTATCCATCTGCCAAATGGTCCCATGAATGTGTGAGGCTGGGGAATTGTAGTGCTGAGTGATAGATATCAGCCCTTTCATTTCCATCTGAGTAAAGGTTAACAGCTCATCATTCTTCCTCCACCTGAGATGAAGGAATGCTGGGGCACTGGGAGAGGGCCAGGTGCACTGATAGCAGTGGGAAGACAATACAAGTGGTCTCTACGGATTCACTATTGCCCAGCCGAGTAAGAAAGAAAGCTGTTATCGTCTGACCTTTAAGCACAGTTTAAACCAATACACACCTAAAAACAAGGTTAGGGGGGTTGTTGGACTTTTCATTGTAGAACTGTGAGGATTTGGCAGAAAAAACACAAACCAGGCTTAACAGACAAAAAACATTCCTTTTTAAATAAAAAATATAATGAAAAATCACATGTACTGACTTTAAATTGAAGATACCTTACCAGAGAGGAGGAGAGCCTTGTCTACAGTAAACTCCTCAACAAATCGGATATGGCAGAAGTTTTTCTTGCTCTTTCTGATGGCAGCTATATCGCCACACTGTCCAAAGACCTCCACGATGAGCTGCTCAGTGGCGTTCTCGGGCAGACCACCAACAAATACCGTCTTACACCCTGGAGGGCGCTCCCTGGTGGCTGGAGGCAGAAGGTCTGTCAAACATGGAGAAGGAAAGAAAAGAGACAAAATTATTTCATTGGAAGCCTCAACCATAAACAGCATACACTCAGATTACAGTTGGTTGATTGGCACTGAATCACTGAAGGTACAGCATCCATCAGTTTTAATTAAGAAACAGAGAGAGATTTTATATGTATGAATGGAAGAATGTATGATATTTTTATTATTGTGTCATGCATACAACTATTATGTATATGCATATAGAGAATTCATATAAGGTGGATCCAGAAAGCCATTTTCAGACAATATTAGTCCAAAGTCCAAAAATAATGAACAGTTAATAATTTTCACAATCAGATTGTAAGAACATCCAAGAAAATCTACAAGAAAAATCATAATCTTACAAAACATATATGTTATAATTTGGGAAAAATCATAATAAATACTAATTAAATAATCGTCATAATCGTTGCCTAAATTAAAACAACCGTTAGGATTTTTGATACCTTGAGTAAGCCTTATAAATTCAATCTGCTTTCCAGTTTCAGTCCAGCAAATGAAAAAGCCTGAAAAGGCCTTGGGAACAAATAAAAAAAAGTTTTAGTTCGAGGCTAACACCTCAGAGGTTATCATGAATATATCTCTTCTCTCCCTCAGCCAGTCAAGGACACATCATAAAAAATCCATGAAACCGGGTGTGTGAAAATTACTCTATTTTTAAGCCACATTACACAAATGAAAATTGGGTGAATTGGATAAAGAATGTAACAGGAGAAACCAAATGAGGTGACATCCACATTTTCTACCACTGAAAGTTTTTTGACATTTGTAGTGCATTTAATTTCACATATTTTCCCACCTTATCATGACATGCTACTAAGGCAGAGGAATCTGCTGTGAGAGTTAATTCAATTTTATTTATATAGCCCACAAATCACAAGTTTCCCTCAAGGGGCTTCACAATCTGTACAGCTTACAACACCCTCTATTCTTAGACCCTTGACTTTGTAAAGGAAAAACTCCTTTAACAGGGAATAAAAGGAAGAAACCTCAGGAGCCAATGAAGGAAAGCTAAAATTGGTGTAATATGGTCAAACATTCTCTTTTTTTTCTGAGTTCTGAACCATCTGAAGCTTTTTTGTACTGGTAGGGCTGAGAACAAAACATTAGAATAATCAAATCTAGATGAAATGAAGGTGTGAATTAGGCTCTCTGCATCAGCCAAGGACAGAAAAGACTGCATTTTAGCTATGTTGGATAGCTGGAAAAAGGCGATCTTGGTTATACTGTATCTTCAATGTGCTGATCAAAAGGGAGAGTAGGATCAAACGTAACACCAAGATTTTTGGCTGACAAACTATGAGAAATCACACAATTGTTGAAAGTCACTGTTACTTGATCAAATTGGTATCTATATGTTGAGCAGGGCCAGACTAGGAGCAGGAATATAGGCTAGAAAATAGCGGCGCCTGTCCTAATAGGGTGAAATCTGTCTGCTTTCAGCAGGTTGGGGCAGCCCCAGAAAGAAGTTAGTTGAGTTATCAATAAAACCAAATCCCTGCTCACTACAGCAATGAGCCAGAAAATGGTTCAGTGAAGTAAGTACATGAAAACTAATGTACATGACGATAAGATAATGACGAGATCCACAAGATTTCTCTATGACCATACCATGATTGAAATATAGAATAATAAGCGATAATGTGGAATAATATGTTTGAATAATTTTTATATTACAGTCACGCATCCCCGGCATGAAAATCAAATCCTTCTGGCAAGAGGGAGGTTGATCCTTTGGTGTCGATGGTCAGAAGCATGAAGGACGTTACTGACTGAGCAAAGATAAATGTTGACTGATCTAATCTCAGAAACATCAGGCTTTCCATGGACTGTGGGCATGACTGGTTAAGTCTGCTCAGAGGAAATGGGGAAATCGATGCTAAACCATCTGGGTTTTGAAGTTAATGCTGTTTTTTAACCTGGAAAAACCTAATTTGTTTATTGATGATTTAATGCAAAACATGCTTGGAGAAAGTTTGGGCTTTGAGGCTGCCCATTTGCTGTAATAAGAACTGGAATGAAAATTAGGAAAAATATTTTTAAGTTACAGCTTTAACAAAATGCCTTTTCCATTTATAAATCAAGCTCAGTAAGATTACATTCACATTGGTGAAAGCCATTATTCAGACCAACCAAATGATTTTGTGATATCAGAATGTGAGATGAGATTTTAGCATGAATTCAAATGCTAAGTTACTAATAAATTAATGTGGTGATCATAGTCAAGAAAGCTATCCCATAAGCGATTTGTAGATATATAAGAAATCTATATAAACATCAGCATGTGAGGACTGGACTATTTCTTGGCATGAGTGCAGTTACTTTCTGGAGTCTCCGGTGGTTAGCTGGCAACCAATTAAACAAAGGAGATCTAATGTGTGAATTAATGAAATTTATGGTGTATTGGTAAGGAGATTTTTTTACCTTTGGAAAGAACCAAGCTTTTCATTTTTCCCTTTTGTCTTGACTTTATGCGAAGCTAAACATCTGCTGCTGTAGCTTTATATTTAGCATAGTTAGTGTGTAATACTATTGTAGCCCACAATAAGCATGCTTTTTGTCCTTATTTTTAGCTGTTTGTCATTATTCATGACATTTTAGGTCTAGCTGCACATAATCAGTTATTTCCCCATGAGCTGTGAACAACAGAAAAGGAAAATAAACACATTAGGTGCAGTACAGAGAAGCATGACTTGCTGCCAGTCATCAGTATTTGATTTCCCCCTTCTAGGTGCATGTAGCGCTGATGATGCAGGATGACATCACCAAAAACTGTCCAATGTTTGAATCAGTACCTTTACAGCTCTTGGTTCATTTGCACAAAAAAAGCAAAAGGTCAACTATATATATATATATATATATATATATATTTATTTATTTATTTATTTATTTATTTATTAGGGATGACCCTGAATAGTCGAAGATTCGATGCTTTGATGGGCGGAGCCTGATTCGACTGTCAATCTCACAGTCGAAGCATCGCAGTAGCGTGTATGTGTGCAGTGGCAGTGGAGGAACATTTGCTGAAGAGACCGATCCCCGGCTTCCCGGTGTTGTGCCAACTTGTTCGCACCTCACGGGACTTTTGGATAATTTATCACCGTTGATGAACCACATAAAGAGTATTTTATCGTTTTTAAACAGCCGGCTACTTAAAATAGACCCGTGACGAGCATGCAGTTGTCGGCAGCAGTAATGCACATAAAACTCTGCATCAGTCTGGTGATGTCAGGCGAGAGAGAGAGAGAGAAGGATCTTCAAAAAGCCTCAGTTTAGCTGGAAATTTACAGTGTAAGTTGAATGAAAAGAGACTACAGCTCTGCAGCTTAAGGATTAAAGCGGAGCTGCCATGTGTAAACCCCCCCGCTCGCAATCGCCACGCACAAAAAAACAGGTGATTCAACTATCAGTCGACTATAGGTAGGACTTGACGATTCTGATTCGACTATGTAAATCCTTAAAGCCCTAATATATATATATAAATAATTTATTGTTAGACTGTTAGACTGCATTAGCTTTAGCTAGGTGTACCTAATAAACTGGCAGCTGAGTGTATTTCTAAGTAAGAAATAGATACTACAGATATCAATCTGATTTGAGCTTAAAATATAAAAACTAAAATAACTATTAAATATTGGTCTGAAGTAAATAAATATAAACCATAAAAATGGATTTCAGTTTTAGTAGAATGCTTAAACAACAGTTTTAAGTTAACTGAACAACAGGTGTGAAACAACCTTTTGTATTATGTAAATGTTCAAAGTGTACCTATATGTTGTGGGCAAATATAAAACAAAAATTAATATCCTGTTCTTAAAGCAGCCATCATAAAACTATAATGTATTTGACTGACACACTGAACAATTTGTACTCAGCAGTTGTGTGAAAAGTACCTCAAGCAGATCTGAAATGTAGGACTCATTCATGAACACTTTGAGCTGCTGAAATCCCTTTCCCATGGCTATAAAGCTGTGGCCTAAATCATATGACTTTCCACCAGTCATCCCCTAAATTAGAAAAAATAAATTGTATTTTTTATACAGTACTCGAAAGGTTGGACTTGAAATTTTAAATGATGGGCCCAAGAGGAGCTATTATCCAGTCATGAAGCTTTAGTGCTGGAGAGCCTGTAGCAAAGTTATGGTACAACACATCAAAGCTACTTTATGGTTTTGTCCTCCTCATGTCACAGCTTGCTCTGGCACATGGCCCAAAAGCCTTCGTCCCCTGACCTTGGCAATGATGATGGCATTAAAACTGGAACATGCCCACACTCACGGCTGCTCTCTCACTCACATACTCAAAGCCAAAAACACACACACCCTAACTCTAGGACAGCACCAAGGTGATAGCTTCCCTGCGTTTACTTTGCAGTCAGCTAAAACATGCTGCGGCTCATTGCACGATTCAGCATTAAATTACAATTTCTGACAGAGTTCGGCTGATGAGCTAGGCGGACAATACAAAAGGACAACACGGTAACAGTTTGACGTTTAGCTGACACCCTTGCTTCATAAAAGCCTGCCTTTAAAAAACATTTTTTTCACAGACACACTAAAGATGTGACTGCATTACCAAATGTTTGGCTTTGAAAGGAGGATGAAATCCATACAGGGGACTTTTTAGAAATGTAGGCACGTAGACAGGAGGGTTCTGAAGGGCATCTTTGGTCTTTTACTTGAGGGTAATTACAGATAGACAAGCCTGACATAGATGAAAAAGTGTTGGAAAAAGAAGAGCCGGAGGAAGTGATGACCATTAAAGACACTCACAGAGTAATTCCCTGAAGCAGCAAATGAAATGTAGGTCTGCATTAAAGGTCTGAGAGACAAAAATGGGTTTGAGTTTGTGTGTATGGGAGTTATGGAATAAGAGAAAGTAACAGAAGAAGACCGAGGCTATATTTAATTAAATCTGAAAGTTTTAAAAACCTGTATGGAATGAAAATGGGGCAACTGGCAGAGCTGCTTAT